AAGTCACCAGGGCCAGGACTTGAACTGCTCGGTTAGCCATGTGGAATCCATGCATCTGAATCACTAAGCCACTGGGTGGCACTGGAATGTTTTCTTATAGAGTAGTGCTCTCAGATTTGACTGATTCCAAAATTGATCTAGGATACTCGTTAAAGTAATATTGATTCTTGGGGCCAGATAGTGGCAGAGTGGTAAAACACAACACTTTGTAAGGCAATCCCACATGAGAAGGTTCCCTATTCAAGTCCAGAGACCTCCCTATGTACACTGGGCATGTGTATGCCCATACTCCAGACTCGCTGAGGGCTAGGGGTGGATCATGGTGTTAAAATCCTATTGGGGACCAGCAGTTAGCGTAATGGCTATGTCGCTGGACTCCCATGTAGTCAACCGCGGTTCAAGTCCTGGACCCGGTGGCTTAAACTTACGCCGGGCGCGTGTGCATGCATGCCCAAGATCCCGAGAGGAGAATGGAGGAGAAGGGATTGTGGCGTGGCCATCCCCCCGGGGGGTGATTTCTCGCTTTCTATCTCTCTATCTCTGTCTGTCTGGCGAGCGCACTCGCCCTATAGCAAAAACCTCTACCCCAAAATAAATAAATAAATAAAAAGAATTTTTAAAAAATCCTATTGGTGTATTGTCTCTCTCTCTCACTCATGGAGGAAGAAAATCTCCCAGCAATTCTTATGGTCATGCAAGTGGGGGAAATACTGCTCGAGGTATTTGTTTTCTAAGGGTGGATTTAGACTACCCTGGGCCCATAAATTATGACCTCTCCTCATTGGACATCAGTGGTTAGAGGAGCTGGATTCAACATGGCCAACTGGGGTTTGAATCTCAGCCCCAGTGACTTGAAACAGTGGCTGCCTGTGTGTGTGCACCCAAAATCCCGACAGGATGGCGAAAGTGAGGATAAGGTATGAGACATGACCAAGTCCCATGGGGAGGAGGTGCTTTGTCTCTCTCTCTCTTTTTTTTTTTTTGGAGAGGTTTTCTCTATAGGGCGCGTGCGCTCGCCAGACAGAGAGAGACATAGAGACAGAAAGTGAGAAATCACCCCCCCCAGGGGGGATGGTCACGCCGTAATCCCTTCTCCTCCATTTTCCTCTCGGGATCTTGGGCACGCACGCACACAGGCCCGGCATGAGTTTTAAGCCACCGGGTCTGGGACGCAAACCGCGGTCGACTACGTGGGAGTCCAGCGACATAGCCATTATGCTAACTGCTGGTCCCCCTCCCTCTCTTTTTTTTTAATTTTGTTATTGTTGTTTTTAATTTTCTCTAGGGTATGTGTGCTCACCAGAGAGAGAGAAAGTGAGAAAGCAAGCTGCCAGGTCTGGGACTCAAAATGTAGTTAACCAAGTGGGAGTCTAGCACCTTAACCACCACACCACTTGCAAGCCCCTCTATCTTTCTCTTTTTCTTTTGTCTTTTTTTGGAGAGGTTTTTGCTATAGGGCGCATGCGCTCACTAGATAGAGAGAGCGACAGAAAGCGAGAAATCACCCCCCAGGGGGGATGGCCATGCCGCAATCCCTTCTCCTCCATTGTCCTCTCGGGATCTTGGGTACGCACGCACACGCGCCCGGCGTGAGTTTAAGCTGCCAGGTCCAGGACTTGAACTGTGGTCAACTATGTGGGAGTCCAGCGACATAGCCATTATGCTAACTGCTGGTCCCAAACCCCCTCTATCTTTCTTTTTTTCTAGAGAGTACACAGGCCTTCTCACCACAAAAAAAAAAAAAAAAAAAAAAAAAACTTTCTCCCACAAAAAAAAAAAAAAAAAAAAAAAAAGAATAAAGAAATAGCAGTCAAGATTGAAAAAAAAAAGTGTATATTTTGCTTATTTTTATCATCACAGAGAGAAACTTCTGACAGGGTCTCAGCACCCCACATTCTCCTCTACCTCCTCAGGGCCCCGGGTACCAGCATACACATGTCCAACCTGTTTCAGGTCGACCAGACTGGGATGAAGCCCAGGGTTGGCCGCGTGGCTTCCAGCTCTGCAGCCCAGTACACCACCAACTGTGCCACTTCGACTGGGCCAGAGTGAAAAATTTGGAGAATCACTTTGTGCTCTGGAAGGATCATTACATAGGCCCCCAGGTGTTGCCAGCCAATGTGGCTAAGTGTGGGTTTCTAGTAATCCCACTTCTAGGAATTCATCCCAAGGGACTATCTATGGCATGCTTGAAGCAATCCTGTGCCAAAGGTGGAGAAAGAGGCTGTCCAGGTCTGCCTGTGTGATTAGCAACAAACAGTCCCAGAGAGCTGGCTGGCAGAGACAAGGCCACTGATGCAGGCCTACCTCCTCCCTCTCCTGGGTCTGTCCAGGGCCCGCCCAGGCTGGAAGATCGCCCCTGTCTGTGGCCCTTTCACTCACCTCTGCCTGGGCCTCTGCATTTGCCTGTGCAAAGCCCCAGACAGAGGGAGGAGGGGGCAGTATGGACTGGGAAATTTGGTGTTCTGGGTTCACAGTGGATGGTGCCAGAACCACCCACTGACTCTGATCCCATAGGATGACCCCTGCCTAGGGAGGAGTGGAGGACGGAGTAGACCCAGGTCCCTGACTCTGGATGAGAACTAGTTCTTTGGTTTTGTTTTCTCTGTTTTTCCCACTAACTCTTCCTGCCTTAAGTGCCCTTCTGCCTGTAGGTCCTGGAATCACAGGGCCTTCCTTCTTAAGGCTGGGAGCAGCTCCAACCCAGCGGCGCTGGCGCCATTGCCTCTAGCCTGACGGCCCCCAAAGATGGGCTGCATTTCTCCTTTGTGCCAACAGCCAGGGCATGGCCCAAGTACAAAACACAAAGAAGTCACAGGGCCCTAGAAATTCTCTTCTCATTATTCGTGACCGTGCTCTGTTTTCTCACTCCCTGGTTTCAACAGTCAGGCGCCAGGCCCAGGCCCTCCTTTTCCACCCAGCACTTCTCAGACGACATGCTCCTGCATTCACTGGGGTGAGAGCACCTGGGGTTCATGGGCTCCTTAAGGAAACCTGTGGGTACCAACACGTCTAATTCCACCACAGAAAAGGAGGGCAGGGGTCCAGTCCTAGCGAGCTCAGTACAGGGTGCCTGGCGGTTGGCGTGCAGGTGCCGGGTGAGGCCCACTCAGGTCGAGTCCCACCTCCAGAGCACACCGTGGGGAAGTCCTTCAACTTCTCACCGCCTGGACTGTGTCCTCCCCAAATTCCTGTGTGAAGCCCTCCTTCCCTCCCCCTTCCCTCCCCCCAGCGCGACTGTATTTGGAAAAAGGGCCTTAGGGAAGGAATTAAGGTAAAATGAGGTCAGAAGTGGGGCCCTGAGCCGATCAGACCAGTGTCCTTATAAGAGAACGCGACACCAGAGCTTGCTCTCTGCTCGCAGACGAGAGGCCACGCGAGGCCACGGGTGCAGGCAGCTGCCTCCCAGCCGCACCAGAACCCAGCCCTGCCGGCTCCTTGATCTTCACTTAGAGCCTCCAGCCCTGGAGAAAATAGAATCTCTGTTGTGTGAGCCACCGGGTTTGCAGCATTGCGTTAGGACAGTCTGACCTGACTGACACACGCAGTCTCCTCCTTTGAAAAGATGGGGCTGGGTAGTGCTGCACCCTGAGGCGGGGTGGGGTTCGGGGAAGTGCTCACTGAGGCCTGCCTGTGTGGTTCCGACTGCACCTTCCGCCTAGGGCCAGCGGGTGTTCAGTTCATACCCGCGGAATGACTAAGTGAATCCGTCATCGAGCGAAGCTGTCACAGCCAGTATGAGAGCCTGTCTCTGAGCTTTTCTCGAACCTTCGTTTCCTTGATTACTGATCACGAGGCACAGCAGATGCTAGCGGGAGTAGAGGGCTTCAGGAGAGGTCTGCGAGGACAGGGTCCTATCTTTAATTGGATCTGCCCGTTACCGTAATGTCTGTGAACTGGGAAAGGCAACTTTGGTCAGAGCCGAAGGAAGCCTGGAACCCTGGTCCAGCCTAGCATTCCTGGGGGCCAGGGGCTAGTGACCACAGCTGTGGGGCTGCTGGGGAGGCTCCAGGGGAACTGGGGCTGGCCTAGGAGTGTCCCAGGTGAAGCTGGTCTGGGGCTGGAGTCTGTAGCAAGCTCACCTTCCTGGTGCTTGGGAGATGCAAATGATGGGGACAATAGGGGCCCTGTCTCCAGGACATTTGTGCCCGAGCTGGGCTCCAGGGAGGCAGAGCTCTCCACCTCTGCCATGGTGAGACTTGGTTGGGGGCAGCCTTGGGCTGCACAAACCTGCCCACCCTGGGGGCCCAGGGCTCTGATCACCTCCTCTGCTCCCCTCCCTGCCTCCTTCCAGGACAAGCCCAGTGGGAGCAAGCCCCGGTGAGTACTTGGGCTCCTCTCCTCTCCTTTCATCCCCCTTCCCCTCTTCCCCAGCCATGCTGGTCCTGCCTGGGCCTTCCCCACCATTCATGGTCCCCCACCCTCACCAACAGTAAGCTGATCCCACTCTCAGTCTCCCAGGGTGCCGGCTCTGTCCCTAGCTTCCACCTCCATGGTCTTTGGTCCAGAGCCTCCGTGTCGCGCAACCCAGGGGCCTTCACTCTGCTACGGATGTCACTGTCATGGAGGCCAGTGTCTGACGGACATGAGCCCAAGGGCCCCTCAGGCCTAGTTGATTAGAGTCTCTCTGCAGGTTGGGCCCACCCCTCCCGCCCCCCAGATGTGTGGGTAAGTGACGAGGTGGGCCAGGGGGCCCACCACACCAGGGTCTCCTGCAAGCCAGGCCTCTCCTGAGTAGCTCAGAACACCTCCTGCCCACCACAGTCTAGCACTGTAAAGTCATTGGGGCCCAGTTCTCCCATCTGCACTTGGGGTGCAGGGGCCTGGGGACTGGCAGGTGGACTGGCACCTTGGAAACAAGGAGGCCTACTCACTGGCCCTGCTACTGGGGCCAGGGGAGGTGGTGTCCTTTGGGTGGAAGCGCTGAGGCCCACGGAGAGAGTGAGGCATTGGGTAGGGGGTGGGCGGGGAGGGGTGAGGCCCGCCTGTCTGCCCGATTCCCCAGCTTGGAGAGAAGATGCCCCCGTTTCCTCTTCTCCGCCTGCCACAGGGATGTGGAGCTACAGGGTAAGTCCAGCTGGCCAGGCTGCGTGAGGGAGGAGGAGCAGCCACCACCTGTCCTGCCATCTCCCACCCTCCATCTTCCCAGGCTCAGCACCCCTGCATGAAGGCCCAGGAGGAGGAAGAGGAGGATAAATACGAGCTGCCCCCCTGTGAGGCGATGCTCCTCAACCTAGCCCCTGCCCAGCTTCCTGGCTCCGAGGGGGACTCCTTGTACCTGGGTGAGAGCTGGGAAGTGGGAGGCAGGGAGGGCGTGCTCCCGCAGGGTGTGGGGTGGGCGGGGGCGGTGGGGGCGTCCCCACCAGGGAAGGGAGCACAGGCCGCGAGTGCGGAGGTGTGGCTGGCAGGAACAGAGGAAAGGAGGGAGGGCTGAAGGGAGAAAGGGAGGAGAGTGGGAAGGGGAGGGGGCGGTGTCAGTAACCTAGGCAACAGAGGGGAAGCTGGAGCCCACCCGGTCCCTGGGGCCTGGCATTCCCGGCTCTGAGATCGCACATCTCTGGTCGGGCACTGGGAGAGCCCTGGCGCCATCCTAGCCCACCCCCACCGCTCCCAGGAGGCTCGGCCAGGTGGGGGCAGGGAAGCTGGCCGCCTCCAGTTGCCATGGAGATGGGGCTGCCGGGAAGCCAAGGAGCGACGGGAGCCGTGAGAGAGGAGGAAATGGAGGGGGCAGGAGGAAAATGGGGACTACAGGGAGGAGCCCACGGGCCCACACCGCTCTGGGTCTTTTTCAGACCGCCCTGGCCCCCAGGGCCCATCCAAGCCACCGCCAGCTCGGCCTCTGCCTGCCCGGGGAAGAGGCCTCCCCTTCCCCTTCCCTACCGCTCCCACCCCTGGTTACCATTTCCCGGTGAGTAAATCTTAGCAGGATCTCATTTGCAAGATTCCCCCACATTTGCATTCAAGAGGCCCCTGAAACATCCAATGCCAGCTGCTCTGAAGGGAGCCCAGTGACAGTCATCCGTCCCCAGCAGCCCGGCCTCCCCGCCATCTTCTCAAGGACACTTGCCCTCCTCACCCCAGCTGGCCTCCACCGAAGGCGACAGGCTTGGCTGCCCGCTCTGGACTCTGGGGCCTGAGGACCCCTCTCTGCCCGGAGAGTGAAGGGGCCGCCAGCTGCCCTCCCCACCGTCATCCTGGTTCCTGTCTGCAAGCCACCACTTGCATCGCCTATTTTATTGGAATAAAAGGAAAAATAGATTCATAACAAAAGACGGACCACAGGGTCGAGGAAAGAGAAGGGGCACCCCTTCTGTACACCTCCCTTGTGTTGTGGTGGTGTTTCTAAAAAATTAATTCAACTTTATTCCTATGATTATTTTTAAGAATTATTTTATTTAACTTTATTTATTATTATTTTCCAGTTTGATTGGACAAAGAGAGAGAGAGAGGGAAAGTGAGAAAGCAAGCCACCAGGTCCAGGACTTGAACTGTGGGCAGACATGTGGGAGTCCACCACCTTTAACCACCATGCCACCTGCCAGCCCCAATTACTATTATTTTTTTTAAGAATTATAGTACTGGGACCAGCCATTAGCGTAATGGCTATGTCACTGGACTCCCATGTAGTTGACCGTGGTTCCAGTCCCAGACCTGGTGGCTAAACGCACGCCGGGCGTGTGTGCGTGCATGCCCAAGATCCCAAGAGGAGAATGGAGGAGAAAGGATTGTGGCGTAGCCATCCTCGCTGGGGGGTGATGTCTCACTTTCTGTCTCTCTGTCTCTGTCTCTTTCTGGTGAGTACATGTGCCCTATAGCAAAAACCTCTCCCCCCCAAAAAAAATTATAGTATTAATTAATTTATTTATTTTCAATTTGACCAGAGAGACATTGCGGAGAGGGAGTGAGAAAGAAAGCTGCCAGGTCTGGGACTCAAACCTTGAGTCGGCCATGGGGGAGTCCAGTATCTCAACCATCATGCCACCTGCTAGCCCCTATTATTTTTTTAATTTAAAATAGGGCACATGCACTCACCAGAAAGAGAGAGAGAAAGAGAGAGAGAAAGTGAGAAAGCAAGCTGTCAGGTCTGGGACTTGAACCATGGTCAGTCATGTGGGAGTCCAGTGCCTTAACTACTGCCTGCTGGCCCCATTGTAGTTGTTATTTATATTTATTTATTTCGCATTGCCAGAGAGAGGCAGAGGGAGAAAGCATCTCCACTCCTAGCAGGGCGTGGTCATACCACAATCTTCATTTTTTCATCCTATTGGGATTCTAGGCACACACAACATACCCGGTTTTTCCAGCCATTGGGGCTGAGAACAGTGGTCAGCCATGTGGGATCCAGCCCCCTTAACCGCTAGGCCATGGAGTGGCCTGGTGTTGGGTTTTCCAGTCTACACAGATATCTGTAGTCCCCCCCCCCATCCTTGCCCTAACCCCCCTGACCACGCCATTGTCCCACAGCTGAAGAGAACGAAGAGCCCACAGGAGACTGTGAAGCAGGGACCTGTCTTTGGGAGACCAGGTAATGGGATGTTCTTGCTCTTCCTGTGGCTCCACCCTGGGAAGGGGAGTCTGTGCTCTCGGGCCCCCCAGAGTAGAGGTGAGCTCGTGTTTTATGCTGGTCTCTGGCTTCACCAGTTCTCCGCGCCCCCACAGCTGCGCCTCCTTGTCACCCTCCGCTCCCCTCAGGCAGGCAGTCCAGGTGGCATTACCACCAAGGAAACATACAGGAGACGGAGGCCAGGGCCCTGCAGTGCTCTGCCCCCCACCCTGTGCTGCACCTAGGGTGATCTCCGCGTCGGCTGAGGGACACCCCCAGAATGAGGAGGTCTGGAGTGCAGCCTCCTCCACCTTGAGGCCCTCACTGTTGAGAGACATCTGAGTGCCATCACTCTTCAAATAGGGCCCCCGCTGGGCCACCAATCTGGGGCCTCATCCCTGTCATTATATCACTAACCCAGTGACCTGCTGCTGTGGTCGATGCCTCGAGGCCTGTGACCTCAGGACCATGAAATGCCAGCACAGGGAGGGACCTCTCCAACACGTTTTTGTTCAAGAGAGGCCAGGAGGGCTAACCTCCTCCAAAGTCAGACAGCTAACCTGAGGACACTCTCGTTCGCCATGCCTGTAGGGGACGGACTTCCATGACCTGAGGGTGGCTTTGATATTTGAAACATCCCCAAATCACCCGCAGCTCAGCCGGGCAAGTCCTTCGGGAGGTCCAGCCAGGCTCGGGGCTGGGAAGAAAACCCCTCAGGGGTGAGGACAGGGTTCTCCTGGGCCTTCAAGGCTGGCTCTGAGGATCCCACTCAGGGAAGTCCCCGGTGCCCCACTGTCCCTTTCCGCTGCTCATGACCAATGGTTCTCTCCTCTCATCTTTTCCTTCTAGAGCGGGGTGTGCCGTTCAGAGCGGTGAGCAGCCCCTCTGCCCCCACCTCACATTCTAGGGTCCTGGTTAGTAAGTTGGCAGGGGTGCAGTGGGGGGCCTGGGGAGGCCAGGAAATATCCCGGAAGCCAAGGGAAAGCCCAGTGCCGACCACCCTCTCCAGCCACACGCTTCTGGCTGGTGTGGGGCAACAGCACCGGTTGTCCTGAAGTGCCCCTCAGGGCCCCTCCGGGCTCCTCCATGACACCCACAATCTCTGAGAGCTGGGCCTATGGCCACCCTTGAAAGGGAAGGTGCTCGTGGGAGGCCCGTCCCAGGCAGAGGAGCAATTTTAATAGTCCGACCTGGCTCCCAGAAAGAGAGCCGCCCTTTGTAAAGAGGGAGTGAGGTGCCCGGGCCTTCTCTATCAACCAACAGCTCTCCCTCCAGCTGCTCAGGGCAGAAATCCCCCAATCTTAAACTGCACCCCAGGGCTGGCCAAACCTATGGTCCACACTCCTCCCTACCTTAGGTGCCAGGCCCTCCAGAGAAACCTGAGGAGGACACCTACCTGGAGTGCAAGCCTGAGCCCGACCCGGGTGAGCACTCCCTCTGCACGAGCACCCCAGCTGCCCCCACACCACCTGTTGGGTGTCCCGAACCCGCGGGACGAATCGGGCAGGGCCTACGGCCTTGGAGACTAGAGGTCTGGAAC